TTTTCGGCTTTACATCAAGCCCTCTTCAGTCTTTTGTAAAATATTACATACGTGTCGCTTCACCTTCGTGTGTTACATACATAATTGTCAGATACTGTGTCTAATTATCACAGCGAATAATTAGACACAGCATTTGACAATTACATATGTATGTAACATACGAAGGTGAAGGGACATGTACTTATGTAACATTTTATTATAAAAGACCAATGAATTTTATTATTAAAACAAATCTCAATACACATAATAACTGTCAAAACATGTAATGACAGCCGCTCAACGAAGCATAGTGAGATAATCAATCAGCATCACGGAAAAGCGGCAACAGATAATTTCGAGAAATGCGAGTTATCGACTTAACATGCCTTTTTTTAGATAGGATTCTGAAATATATTTCTTAATCGATTAACTCATTAATTATTAATTTATTTTATATTTCTGAAATTTTTGTTGTAAAAGAAATTAATTTCCTTCATAAATAATTAAATCGTATCTTTGCAAATACGTTACTGTATTCTCTTTTAGTCGTGAGGTTATTATTACCCCTTTTCGAAACTTTCCGTAAAAAGAATTTGTTATTTTTATAGAGCTATCACGTGTATAACGTCATAAATATGTCTGTCTCGTGAAAAATTACGTGAAAGACTCTACGCGAAAAGGTCTTGTATGTGTATTCTCAAAATAGCCTGTCATTGAAGCTTTGTCGCCCGTATAGGAGGGGACTTGCTTCGAGCTCGAGAGGTGCACAACCCTTCGACGAGGTCATTCGCGCATATACAGCGGATAAAGAAAATGTATCATGACTTGTTCACTGTAGATAGCCTTTAACGTACAGCGGTAATTAAACTTTTACGTGTCCGGGTATATTTATTATAGATAAACACGGATAAGAGATGCAAACAGAAAGTAACATTTTTTCAAACGGAATACGATAAAATAAATTCATGCCAAACGCAACAAGAACAATGTTTATATAAAAAAAAAATATTAAGCCACGTGGATATTCTTTCCGCGCATCATCAAATATTCTGTCATTTTTTCAGAGCACACCTGCAAAGATTTTCGATGCACTCAAAATGAATTCTGCATCGAGACAGATCTCCTTTGTGACGGCGTGAACCACTGCGGCGACGGATCTGATGAGGCCACTTCCACCCTTTGTGCCAGTGAGTTCTAATTACTACAAGTTTATTATTCTTCTGAAACTTGATCCTCAGTAATTTTACATGTAAAAGTTTACACTCACAGGTCTTGAAAATTAATCTCGCAGATATTAGTAAATCAAAGTATCAAAAAGATAGTTTATATTTTATAATCTCCCTATTCCACTAGAACAGCTCGTTGATGATGTTGCATTGTATACTATTATTTCGAATGCCAGTAATTAGCATTGTATGTGGTAACAATGTGCTAGTTAACATGAAATCAATATGTTCGCCATCAAGCTGCACATCAAGAAACTATGTGTACATATCTTTTGAGACACGCTATATTTAATGAGCAAAGCGATTTAGATCGCGAAGATATAATCTCGCATGATTTAGTATGCTTAGTCATGCGTTAGTTTAAAAAAAAAAATAATTAAAACAGAAAACATGAATTTCGAAAATGTTTTATCAAACGTTAACCGTAAATAATTTTAATTCGGTATGAAATGGTTAAAATGAGATAAATTTGTGCAATTTGTAAATCACATTTACAGAAATATAAGGGCTTTATAAAATATGGTATGCGTGTGCGAATGTTGTGTGACGGTAATAATTTTATTTATTTCGCGTAATTTATGAAAACCCAGATTTAATTTCTTTGAATATATAAATAAAGTCAGAGTTTCCATTTTTTTCATACACCCGACGATTTGTCGAGCGTTTCGTTAATTACACAAACCTAACGATTTTTCAGGTTTTTTTCTATACGTGAAAAAAGTAAGTGTTATTATTTGGCAGAGAAATAGTTGCACAAATGCGCGCGAACCAAATTTACATAACATTTATGTTAATGGTTGAAAGTACGCGTGCGCCGACATCTGAAGAGGTTAATTGCCGTGTATTCATTACATATCCAAGAGTAACTCGCAATAGCGGCGGAGAGTAAATTACAAACTTGTCGCATAATGCTTGCGCCCGCTCGGAGGAATTTAGCATATTCTACTGATATTTTGTTAATTCGCCATATTCCTGTCACAATTTCCGACTTCAATTAGCAAACAGTTAATTTGCACCATTTCGCGATTATACAAGCAATATTAGCAATATTATGTAAACAATTACCATGAAAATATGTATCTAGATAATAATGAAATAATTTTTAAGTGCGAGTCATTGAGCAATATACAACAACTTTGTTGTAATTTTGTAACAATTCTGATAATTTTCACGAAATTATTAATTTTATGCATAAAGTTTTCACTATTATTTTGTACATCGTACTTTGTGAGCCACTATCGTTTATTTTACCACTATCGTAACCATCATCGATTCATTCAAAAATTAACGTTGGCCATAAAGTTTTTTTATTACTTGCGTTATTTACGGATATCGTGCTGTGTAAAGGTAAAACACGAAGAGTACATGTTGCTATATCGATTTCCTGATTCGATGAAAGTGCACGCGTGTCAGGTTAGATCTTTGATCCGTTGACGAAGCGCGTTTAATTATCAAGTGTTTGAGCTTCAACAAGAAATTCGCTCTATTGTCTTTTCCTCATTGTTTTTACGTGATGCGCTGTTTATTAATAAAGAAAAAAATCTCTTTTATTAAATGATCTATTATAATAAAGAAAAGAATCTCTTTTTTTTTAAATAAAAGAGCTTCTTTAGATAAAAATCAAAACTGTGCAGATTTTCCGTTTTAAAAAGTTAATTAAAAATTATGAAACGGTTACATTGTGTAACTTTTATAATATTTTCTCATATATTTAACTAATATTTTTTTCCATGTTTTTTATAATTATGGCTTTGATTTATAAATTAAGTTATAACGTTACAGAATTATATATACTATACATTTATATACCTATACACACATGTGTATGTATATTGCTTTTTTCTCTTTATATGTGCGCTATTTTTATTATACTTCGATCGATTTAAAGCGCAACTCTGTTTTTCAAGTTAAACTTTTCTGATTAATGTTTTTCCATTGTAACTTCAGATTCCGAGGCATCAACGATCCTAGGCATGCAGACTACTTGGTTCGCCATCGCCCTTGTTTTTCTGATACTCAGCATGGGCGGCCTGGTAACGGCGGCGGTTCTCTGCTTTTGCAGGCAGCGTGTTCCTACCCCGAGGCATCCCCATAACGCGCACAATGCTCAGTCTCATCCCCCAGTCAGCTTCCCATGTGAGTCACAAAAAACCACCCTTACACGTACACGATCGATTCGCGCGTCCGTTGTCGCTGTCGTTGCAACCACTCGTAGTCGGTGCAACCTTGCTACCGTTAACCATCTCGTTTTCTTTGTGGTTTTACTTTGCGTTACTGTTACGTTAAAACACGGGGAAAATCTTTTTCATTCTCGCGACTCGGATTGCGTAATGTCGTTACTCTAAACAACTGTACTTTAATAATCGCACGAGAACATACCATTAAAAATAATTTTTATAAATTGAATGATCAATATTAATTACTGTTATTAACTGTAAAGCCTTCAATTTTTTGTCAGAATATTTTAATACAGAAGTTATACATGTAGATTAATTCTTGAGAAATATGATAATTGCATGAGACAGTCAATTTCGAGAATTAAGAAAATTAATTGAATTATATGCGGGTAAATATTAAATATATGCTCAAAAAGTAGCAACTTTCTTTTTATCAAGAATTTTCTCTGATGATAAAAAACGAAAAGTTAGAGCAATTATAAAACGAAGTTGGAACATTTACAAGACATGCTGTAAATTAAGTATTTTAAAGCACATTTTTAAGAATTTATTATATATACATTCTTTTTTTTTACGCTAAATATGCATTTATGAAAATTCTGTTTTCACAGCACGGACTACATTAATACTTATAAAATTAATTAATTTTCCTCTGAACATGTTAGCAAGCGCATTTAGCCGATTTGCTACAAAGTTGCGCCCTGCACGGGTCGAGCCAATGATCAAAGGACGCACGCGTTCGCGATTACGGCATAAAATATTCATTTATTTATATTATCACACGTTCACATCAGAGCACCATTATGTCTCATATCATTATACAGAAATGAGGTCATAGACATCAGTATATTGTTCCTGACCAGTTCGATATAAAATATTACCTGTATCTGTTAGCATATTCATCTCCTAAACAAACGTTTTAAAAATCACTGCCATAAATCAGGAATATCGTTTTTCAGAAAAAGAAGTTATCAATGGATTTCATAGACAATCGAATGGAATAGAATTGTTAATTTAGCACGTAATCTAGAACGCCTTGTCGATTCTATGTTTCAATCAAGAATTATTTATCTCTTAAGATTTTCATGAAGACATCTTGTTATATAAATGTCTTTTCTATGAATACTTTTTGTCCATCTGACTTGCAAATGATTTCAAAAATATATTCTATGCATTTCATCATTGTACATTAACTACAAATATATATTAATATTAAAGTGATGTGTATCTAAATTCTTGTACATATTATGCGTTAATTAATATATGATTATCTATCAGCACGTTTGTGTGGCTTAATAACGGATTATATATAATAATGAAGGATTGTCCCGAATTCGGAATTATAACAATATAATTACATTTACGAAATGTTACATTATCATGCACCGTCATTTGGCCGTCGCGTGCTCGTACTCGATTATGCTGATCTCATTCGAACACCCCGTATGTAGTGTTTACTTTTCATTTGATTTGCGTAGCGGTCTACCGCGCACTTCTGCACGTCATCTCGTTCCATGACAGCGATTCTAATTAATTAATTTAATCAGATTTGACAGGCGCATTTGGCGATCCGCATCCGTCAATCATCTAGTCGCGGTTGACCATTAAATTTATTTGTGGACGGAAGGTTAAATAACATTCGCGGTTTATGCAAATTGTTTCTCGACTTCATCGTTTTACGTGATTTATGTTCGTGTTGTCGTCAAGCGGTTCCCTTAAGATAAACTGCGTTTCTTTAATATCGCCAGTCAGAATAATTACTTATACTATTATAAACTATTACAAACGAATTAGATGTGAAAAGAAACGTTTGCTGAAATATATATGACGCTTATTTGAAAATATTTTACTCTTTTACTGCTAATTTTTTAAATTTTCTTTTCCGCAAAATTTTATAACGGAATTAGTACTACTAAATATTGAAGAACTCAAAAGATTACGCAAATGCAGAGAGCAATATTCTGTATACTACATAAAATATAATCAGAATTTGTTTTCTCCATTTATGTATATGATTTATATTTTACCAACATGCTTTCGCAATATAAATCAATCGCGCATTATGATTTCATCGATATTTTGCCTTTCTAAGGCGCGCTTGACGTCTTAAGATATTTTCTAAGTGTGTGAGGCTATCTCTCAGTAAAGGCTGTGCCTTCTTCACACAAGCAGCGCCTTTGTCTTCAAGTATATAAATAAAACACGTAATGGGAACAAATGTCTCACGACGCGAATTCGTGACAATCGTGACATCGCTACGCGAACTTGCGACCTTTCAATATAGAACAAAGCCGGCCTAAATATCTGCGGTCGGCGCTGAATTAATCAGGAACCATCGACGCGATTGAATCCCACTCGCTGCTATAATTAAGCAGCGAGATGATCGATAGACCCATTGCGATATTCCGCCGCTTACAACGGCGCCCGTTATTTATTTACGCGTAACTACTATTGCATATCGGCGGCTGTAACGGCGCAACGAAATTAGAGAGCGGGGGCAGATGAAAAAAAAAAGGGAGGGGCAGAAAAACCCGAACACAAAACGAACATTGGTTGTTTTCATTAAGCGATCGAACGCGGCCATACCGCCGCTCCGGTCCACTCGCGCTCGTTTTATAATATCGTTTGGCTTTCTGCGATTTCAATCGGCTAGCATTTCCAGCGCGCGGTATCGCGATGTTTGCCGCAATTCCATCGGTGTATCGCTGTTGTTTTTTGGCCCCACGGTAATCGATAGCAAATAGCGCGTGCCTCGCGGCTTGTTCGTCCCGTTTGTTTATTGCTATTACTAACTGTGAGAAAGAGGATGAAGAGAGAAAAAGAGAGTGAGAGAGAGAGAGAGAGAGAGAGAGAGAGAGAGGATGGGAAGGGAGACAGAACGAGAACGAGAGAGTGGAACTCGCACTCGCGTTTAAATTAGTTTAATATACGAGAGAGTCGGGACTCTATCTCGCGCGCGTTGGAAATTCGATTATCCGAACGAAACAAACGGCAGACGAGCGCGACGGATAATTAATTCCCGGAGAAATGTGCGTTTTCGGCTGACTAATGGAACAACGTCTGTCTCCGCGAGCGCAGCTTTGCACGCACAGGTATACGAACCACTGCGTTAAGTGATACATTTTCGACGGATTATTGACGCACGGGCTATCGGGCGATGGTGCCACAACGCGCGTTAAGCAGGATCCAGACCAAGCAAACATGCGCGAACGAACGCGAATGAACAATTTGCTTCATTGAGTGACGGCGCCCATTGGCATTCATTAAAGCAAGTTGTTCATTCGCATTTGTTCACGCTCGTCTGCTTGATCTAAATCTATTTAATAGCTTTGTACAAATCTATCTCTTGCGATACTCAATCTATAATCTATAATCTAAATTAAATTGATGCCAGAAGAAAGTAATTCCTAAAAAGCAGCATATTAATACTATAAAGCATTTTTTCGCGTTTTTAAACTTTCCTTTTTCTTTGAACCCGTATATCTTGGAGCTCCTTAACTCTATCGACTTTTAAACATTATGGGCTTGTTCCTTGGTTGATTCTCTATCGATTGAAAAAAAATTAATTTAAATATGTCCATTTTTATTAGTTATAGTAATAAATATGGATGGGGTCTCCGGAACCCCAGTATGTATACGACGTCGTTAAAAAAACAGTGTGTATATCTAGGGTTAACATCATTTATATTTTTTAAAAGAGTAATTCGATCTTCTTTATCAAAAAATAAATAAATTATAAATTGGAGAAAGAAAGAAAGAAGGAGAGAGAGAGAGAAAAGATAATTTAACATATTTGGAAAATTATTATTATTTTATATGTGATATAATATTAAATCAATATGAAACTAAAATAAGCAATAAGAAGAGAATTAAATAAGCAATAAGTAGAATCTAATTAGAAACAAATAGCTAAAATTATTCAAATTTATGTTTAAATAAGATGATCAAATTTGAATCATCACAGTGTGTTTGTGTTATAAATATTATATCCCTCTACATCTTAATAAAGATTTTTGTCTCATCATTAGTACCTTTGTCTACTTTCTCGCGAATCGATAATTTGGTTGATGAAAATAAAAACTAATAGTAAAAGATTTACCTTGATAATTTTCCAGATAATGGATAGAAATTTTTCATGTAGTTAAAAATCATTTTAAGAATCTAAAGTTTTCCTGAGAATTATAACTTTAAGAGTAATTATTGTAAAAGTATCAAAAAGTATATATATCAGGACTCGAGTCCTGATTTATATAAAGACATTATTAATTTTCATGTAACGAAAACACGAAGCTACCAACATTATCGAATTATATTTTGTATATTTTTTATCAGAAATTGTTTGTATAAAAAAAGTATTTAAAAAATTCCCCAAAAATTCTGAAATTTGTGGGGAAGAGCCAAATTCTATCAATTATATCCGAAATTCTGAAAATAGAGTGCTACCTTCGCATGAGATGAAGGCGAAGGCTGTGTGTGAGCGAAGAAGACTAGCTGCTACGTCGTCGCCCCGATTTAATGGAGCGCGTCGGCTTGATAACACGACCGCCGCCGCTTGCGTATTTCAAGATTTATTAGAGACGCGCGTAACACGGACTTTTTGCAATAGTCTGTTTCGAATATGGTAAGCGCGCTAACGCCGCAACAATAAGTCGCGTGTGTACGGTGTACGATAAATCCAATGAAAAAATTATCAGTATATCATTGTTTATCACATTAGAAAAAAAGTACCGTAAGCGTTCTTTCTAATTTCTGTGCTCTCTCCTTTACTTTCAGCTACGTCTGAATTATTCGCGACATAGGAATTAAGACATCTTTTAATCTTCCACCGAGCTCTCCCTTTCCACGCTACATTTTCCAATTTCTTTGAGGTATATTATCGGAATTTTCTCTCATATTTCAGTCCACACGTTTTTCATTGAAATCAATATTGCAAAGTACATAAAATAGTGAGAGATATTT